CCATACTGTTTTCAACAGAGGCTGTACTATTTTACATCCCCAGGAACAGCATATAAGGGTACCCTTTTCTCCATATCCTCACCAGTATCTGTTGTCTTTGTCTTTTTAATAATAGCCATTCTAACTGTGCTAAGATGATACCTCACTGTGGTTTTGATTTGCATTTCCCTTCTGATTAGTGAACAGTTTTTCATATACCTTTTGACTCCTGGTATGTCTTCTTGCATAAAATTTCTATTCATGTCCTTTGCTCATGTTTTAATGGGATTATTCATTGTTGTTGTTTTTTTTTTTCCTCTCAAGTTGAGTTCATTGTATTTTCTGGGTTTTTAGTCCTTCGCTGGATGAACAGTTTGGAAATATTATTTCCCATTCAACAGGTTGTCTTTTCGCTCTGTTGACAGTTTCTTTTGCAGTGCAGAAGCTTTTGAGTTTAGTTAGTCTGATTTGCCAGTTTCTGGTTTTGGTTGCTGTGGTTTTGAAGTTTAGCAGTAAAATCTCTGCCCAGACCAATGTCCTGAAGTGTTCCTCCAATGTTTTCTTCTAGTAGTTTTACAGTTTCAGGTCTTATGTTGAAGTCTTTAAACCATCTTTAGTTAATTTTTGTGCATGGTGACAGATAGAGGTCCAGATTTATTCTTCAAATTTTTTTCTCTTTGTGCCTCTAATTGGAAAACGCGTAGATATATATTCAAATTTGCTAACTTTTAATGTCATTCATTCTGCTCTTTAGTCTATCTTTTATATATCTATGCATACACATATTTATATTTAAATGTACATAATACATTTTTCACTTCTAGAGTTTCTTTTTCTTACTTTATTATAGTGGTTAGTACCACAAGTATAATATTAAACAGAATTGTGATAGCAGCACACTTGCTTTATTGCTGACCTTATAGGAAAATCTTCCAAAATAAGTTTTTTCTCTCTAATTTTCTAAGGATGTTTATATCAATAAGGGATATTATTTATCAAATATTTTTTCTGAACTTACTGAGAAATCATGTTTCTGTTAAAACTTTTTAATTTGAGATAATTATAGGTTCAGTGGCAGTTATAAGAGATAACCAAGAGATTCCATTTCTTTTTAACCCAGTTTCCTCTAATGATAACATCTTGCAAACCTTCAGACAATATCACAACCAGTATATTGATATTGGTATTAATACAGTCAAGATACAGGACATTTCCATTGCCACACCAATCATATCTGTACAGCCCACAATGTCTTTCATTCAACCCCCACACACTTTGTAACCTCTGGCAATTTCTTTTTTTTTTTCTTTTCTTTTTTTTTCTTTTTTTTGGAGAGGAAGAAAGAGGAAGAGGAAGAGGGAGAGAGAACAGGGGTGTTGCTTTATTGCCCTGGCTAGAATGCAGTCTAAAAATGGGTATGCCTGTACTTGTGTTTAATAATAGAGACACAAAAAAAATGAGGGAAGAAAATAATTAACAAGCAGCCAACCAATATTTCATTTAAACCTTTAAATAGGTGTGATGTGGTACTGAAAAGAGTGTATATTTTGTGTATTTAAAGTGGAGAGTTCTATAAATGTTAATTAAGTCTACTTGTTCCGGATCTGAGTTCAAGTCCTGGATATCGATGTTAACTTTCTGCCTCATTGATCTGTCTAATACTGATGTTGAAGTCTCCCACTATTATTGTGTGGGAGTCCAAGTCTCTTTATAAGTCTTATATACCTGGGTATTCCTGTATTGGGTACGTATATATTTAGGATCTTTAGCTCTTCTTGTTACATTGATCCTTTTATCATTATGTAATATCCTTCTTTGCTTCTTTTGATTTTTGTTGCTTTAAAGTCTATTTTATCAGCAAAAATTGCAACTCCTGCTTTCTATTTATTTATTTTTGCTCTCCATTTGGTTGGTAAATTTTTCTCCATCCCTTTGTTTTGAGTCTTTGTGTATCCTTGCATGTGAGATGGATCTGGATGTAGCATACCAATGGGTCTTGGCTTTTTTTGCCTGCCTGTGTCTTTGGATTGGGGGATTTAGTTGATTTAAACTTAGAATTAATAACAATATATGTGAGTTTGATACTGCCATTTAATGTTAGCTGGCTGTTTTGCCCATTAGTTGATGCAAGTTCTTAATTATGTTGATGTTCTTTATTTTTTGGTATTTTTTAGAAAGGCTGATACTGGTTGTTCCTTTCTATTTGTAGTGGTTCTTTCAGAAGCTCTTGTAAAGCAGGCCTGGTGGTGATGAAATCTCTGAGTGCTTGCTTGTTCACAAAAGATTTTATTTTTCCTTCGCTTATGAAGTTTAGTTTGGCTGGATGTAAAATTCTGGGTTGAAAATTCTTTTCTTTAAGGGTGTTGAATATTGGTTGTCACTCTCTTCTGGCTTGTAGGGTTTCTGCTGAAAGATCTGCCGTGAGTCTGATGGGCTTCCCTTTATGGGTAACCCAACCTTTCTCTCTGGCTGCCCTTAGTATTTTCTCCTTCATTTCAACCCTGGTGAATCTGACGATTACGTGCCTTGGGGTTGCTCTTCTTGAGGAATATCTTTGTGGTGTTCTCTGTATTACCTGGAGTTGAATATTGTCCTGCCTTGCTCGGTTGGGAAAGTTTTCCTGAATAATATCCTGAAGCATATTTTCCAGCTTGGATTGATTCTCTTTGTCACATTCAGGTACACCTATCAAACGTGGATTAGGTCTTTTCACATAGTCCCATATTTCTTGAAGACTTTGCCCATTCTTTTTTATCCTGTTTTCTCTAATCTTGTCTTTTTGTTTTATTTCATTAAGTTGGTCTTTGACCTCTGATATCTTTTCTTCTGCTTGATCAATTTGGCAGTTAAAACTTGTGCATAGTTCGCGAAGTTCTCGTGTTGTGTTTTTCAACTCCATTAATTCACTTATATTCCTTTCTAAATTGTGAGTTATTGTTAACATTTCGTCAAACCTTTTTTCCAAAGTTCTTAGCTTCTTTGCATTGGGTTAGAACAAGTTCTTTTAATTCCCGGAAGTTTCTTATCATCCACTTTTTAAAGCCTGCTTCTGCTAATGGAACACAGTCTTCTCCATCAGGCCTTGTTCCGTTGCTGTTGAGGAACTGTGATCCCCTGTAGAGGGAGAGGCATTCTGATTTGGGGTATTCTCAGCCTTTTTAGGCTGGTTTCTTCCCTTGGTTATAAATTTATCCATCTGTGGCCTTTATAATTACCGTCTTTATAGTTGGGTTTCTAAATGGATGTCCAACTTGTTGATTCCCAGCGCTAAAATCTGAGCAACCCACTGCACCAGCCAAAACAGCGGCTTTAAGATTGATGGTGCTTTTCTGACTCTGCACCAAGAACTGCTGCACCAAGGAGCGGCAAAACTGCCTCACCGGCCGCAAGAGTCGCGCTGGCAACCCGTGGGGCTCCTCTGCTGAGAATCTCCTGGTGCCTGAGCAACAAAAATTGATCTGAAAGTGTGGCGTCCTCTTGTTCTCTGTGCTTTCAGTGGGAGTTACAATCCCGAGCTGCTAGTGATCAGCCATCTTGGATCTCTCTGGCAATTTCTAATCTTTTTGCTGCTTTTACAATGTTTGCAATTCAAGAATGCTGGATAAATGGAATCTTACAGTATATAATCTTTGGGAATTGGCTTTATTTTTATTTTATTTATTATTTATTTATTTATTTTTGCTTTGGGAATGTGACTTTTCCACAATCCTCTGGGGATTCATGTAGCTTGTTATATTTATCAATAGTTATTTTCTCTTCTTGAGTGAGAAAATTCTCTTAAATATTTTGTTAACATTTAATTTATGAAGTAGCTCAGGGTATGGATATACAATAGTTTATTTATTCCTTGAAGGAAATTAGGATTGTTTTCTCTCTGGACCTATTATTAATAAAGATGCTATAAACATTTGTTTACATGTTTTTGTATAAATATGTTTTTATTTTTCAAGGATAAATGACAGAGTGTAATTAATGAGTTTTTTATTTTACAAATGATTTTTCTACATCAGCTTATATGAACATGTGGTTTTCTTCTTTAGCCTGTTAATATGATGGGGTATATTGATTGTTCTCTGAATACTGAACAAACCTTGCATGGATGGAATAAATCATCTTTCTATTGAAATGCTATCATTTAAATAATTTATTCTGTCATTATAGTGGATTATATTCCAGTCTTCAATAAACTCAACCCAGCTATAATATAATGTCCCTTTTCTATACTATTGGGTTTATTTTGTTAATATTTAATTTATGAATATTGCATCTATATTTTTCAGTAAAATTGTCCTATAATTTTCCTTTTTAAAAATTCTTTTGATTTCAGATATGTTATAAAGGTCACGCTGACCTTATAAAATGAGCTGGAAAGTATTTCTCCGGTTTCTAGTCTCTGGAAGAATTTGCATGTGTTTGTCATTATTTCTTTCTTATGTGTTGGGCAGAATTCACTGGTGAATTCTTTTTAGTCATGATAATTTGTGTTTTTCTAGTAATTTGTTATTATTTTCTAGATTTTTATTTTTATTGCTTTGAAGTTAATCATGATAGCTTCATATTATATTTTTTAAATGTCTATGGCATTAGTAATGCAACTCTTTTCCATACTGGCTATTTGAGATATCTCTCTGACATTTTCTCTGTCTCTCCATATCTCTCTGTTTCTCCCCACCTCACCACTTCTCCCTCTTTATCAACATAATAAAGGGAATTATCAATTTTATTAATCTTTTTAATATGTTAACATTTTGTTTTGTTGGCTTATCATATTGTATATTTGTTTTCTATTTTATTATTTTCTCTTCTTTATTAAATTTTTATTCTACTTTGTTGAGTTTAATTTGATGTTATTATAACCTCTTGAGAAGGATTCTTAGATCATTGTTTTCTGCCTTTCCTTTTATATATTAAATGAATTTAAGGCTATAATTTCTCAGTAAGCACAGTGGCAGCATCTTGCTTGTTGAGATATACAGTAGCTTTATTCATATTCAGTTCAATATATTGTAAATTTTCATTAGAATTTATTTTCTAAAGCATATTTTTCTAAAAATATGTTCCTTAGTTTCCAAACATATGGGAATTTTAGTTATTTTTTGTTATAATTGATTTCTAAATTAATTTCACTGTGATTTAGAAATATCTTATGCATTATATAAATTCTACGACATGTTGAGACTTTATTTCTAGCAAATAATAATTTTTGTTAAATATTTCATGGTCACTTAAAAAACCTATTTTCTATAGTTATTAGGTGAAGTGTATGAATTACAACAAATCTGTAACTTTGTAGTTTGGATCATTTATATGTTTACTTTTTAATCTGTTTGTTTTATAAATTGCTAAAATGATGTTTAGTAAAATTTTCCAAACTTAAAAGTTTGATGTTTTTTTCTTATACTTTTGTCAAAGTTTTTTCTATATATTTTAGTCTAGGCAATATGCACACTTCATTTAAAATTCTGTCTTTTTGTTGGCTTGACCTTTTATTATTATAAAATATTCTTCTATTTCTACCAATTCTTCTTTTCTTAAAGCATTTGATATTCATTTGGCACTTTTTTTTTTAACTGTCTACCTGGTATCTACATCTGGTATCTATTATTTTAATTTTACCACTTTAATCTTTATATTCAGCTTTAGCTTTTCATAAACAACATAGGCTAATTTAAAATTTCATTTTGGCAGTACTTTAAGTAGAGAATTTAGTTCATTTACATTAAATGTAATTATTTCAACATTTAAATTTAAATCAATAATATTACTATTTGCTTTATATTTGTTCTACTTATACCATGTTACTTTTTCATTTTCCTTATTTATAACTTATTAAATATCTTGTTCTTCTAATTTCTTATATATTAACTAGCTACTAGTGTAGGCAAAATATAAATATAGATACAATAAATCTACATTTACTATTTATTTGTCAGTGAATTTACTTTAGAAAGCTTTAACTTGACTTAGGCTCCTGAAAGTGAATCCTGCATTGATAGTTCTTTTCTTTTCTTCACTATTCCTATACAAAGAAGTCAAATATTAGGTTGTTTCAGTTGTTCTTATGAAGGTACTTATATTTTTTACCTACTTTTAAGATTTCTTCTCTCCACCTTTATTATCCTACTATTTTGTTATGATGTATCTAGAAGGCTTAATACATATTTTTAATCTCATTAGAGATGAGGATTCTTTCTAATCACTTCTTTAATATCTCTTCTCAGTTTTGAAGAATTTTCCACCATTATCTTTTCAGTTATTAGTCCTGACCCATCCTCATTCTCTTCTCTTTTTCTGAGGCTCCAACTATACAGATAGCAATTTTGTAGACAGGTTGCAGCAAGGTTGATTATATCTATATCTAAGACCTTTTTATTTCCATCCAGTATGACTCTGGCCTTCACCATCTGACTTGCTT